AGCTGGGCATGGTGGCACGTGCCTGTAATCCCAGCTACTCGGGAGGCTGAGGCAGGAGAATTGCCTGAACCCAGGAGGCGGAGGTTGTGGTGAGCCGAGATCGCACCATTGCACTCCAACCTGGGTAACAAGAGTGAAACTCCGTCTCAAAAAAAAAAAAAAAAAGAAATAGGAACACTTTTACACTGTTGGTGGGAAGACTGTGTGGTGATTCCTCAACGATCTAGAACCAGAAATACCATTTGACCCAGCAATCCCATTACTTGGTATATACTCAAATGATTGTAGATCATTCTCTAAAGACACATACACACGTATATTTTTTGCAGCACTATTTACTATAGTAAAGACTTGGAACCAACCCAAATGCCCATCAATGATAGACTGGATAAAGAAAATGTGCCACATATACACTGTGGAATACTATGCAGCCATTAAAAAGAATGACTTCATGTCCTTTGGAGGGACATGGATGAAGCTGGAAGCCATCGTTCTCAGCAAACTAACACAGGAACAGAAAGCAAAATTCTACATGTTCTCACTCTTAAGTGGGAGTTGAACAATGAAAACACATGGACACGGGGAGGGAACATCACACACCTGGGCCCATCGGGGGTTGGTAGCAAGGGGAAGGAGAGCATTAGGACAAACACCTAATGCATGAGGGGCTTAGAACCTAGATGATGGGTTTAGGTGCAGTAAACAACCACAGCACATGTGTACTTATATGACAAACCTGCACATTCTGCACATATATGCCAGAACTTTAACAAAAATGGTAAATAAAATGGGCATTCCACCTGCTACCTAATAGACTGGTTATGGGACTGAACATCAGCTACTTAGCCCCTTATTGAAAATGATCCCCTTGAGGACGATGTTTACAATTATGACCAAAGTACTCTAATTCAAAACACGTCTATTATGAAGTGCTGAGAAATTAAAAATGAATGGGAAGACCCAGATGGAAGCCTGCTTAAGAATAATAAAACTTGACAGAAGACTCATGTCGTTTACAAAATAGTCTATGCCTTCTGCCAGCAGCAAGCATCTACCTGGCAGGATGTGACAGAGGATACCAAGTTTTCACCTCACCGTCTTCTCCATGTGGTTCCAGATACGAGTCTTCACTAGGGAGAGGTGATGGTGACATGACCTACCATCAGTTTCCCCTCTGTGATGGCAACTGGAACAACTGCTGTGATTCAGAGTAAACCAGTCTAGGCACACATCAGCTGCCCTGCTCTTTCTATTGGGAGATACAGCTTAATCTCACCCCAGTGTAGAATTAAAATAGAAACAGTCCGTCAGTGCCCTACTTCTCATCAGTAGTTATCTTCACTGGGTACCCTAAGGAGTCTTGTGTGTTTCCCTGAACAAGAGTTGGCAGGACAGAACCCTCTGCTCAATGGTACAAATCAAATCTACTCTGAAAGACTCCCGAGCCTAGACATACGGACACATGCAACTCTGGACATGGACAGAATATGTCATTTCCTCGCTAGTCACAGAGACAAAGCAACTTTCACAGTTCCGTTAGCTCCCTCTCCCTTCACTTTTAACTTATAAATTTTATTTTCCAAAGAAGTAAAAATATATAGCAACCCATTTAGAAATTCACAAGGGAGTTTAAAAGGAAACTGCAGCAGTATCCCACTTAAACATAACTTCTGCTAGTATTTTGGTATATTTCTTTCAAGTTTTCTTCTGAGATACTTAAAAAAACCAGTAACAATCGCAGGGTGCCAAAGGTTTAGAAATTTAAATAAAAATCATGGCATCAGTATAACCATATACTCATAACCGTAATTACTGACAGGCTACCTATGAATTCATGCTATGTTTCACAATTAATGTGAACATTTCTCTGTTTTTGGAGAAACTGCTTCAACTCTTCTGTTTTATCAGAATAGCAATGTCCGTGGTGTGGCTTTGGGTAGGTTCTTTAACCTATCTAAGCGTCAGTTTTTCTTGTAAAAAATTAGGGATCAATAATATTAACCAGCAACATTAAAGTGTTGTGAGAGTTAAAAGCAGAAATGAACTTAATGTAAGTAGTATCTCGCAAAAATGTGGGCTGCTGTTGATGTCAACACTGGATGGTACTGAAGTCATTTCTCACCGGCTTTTCTTGAATCATGTCTATATATAAGCAAAAAACACCTGAGGAGGGCAGGGAGGATCTGGTCTTTCATTTCCCCATGGGACTTCTTTGGGAACTGTCAGTCAGTGGAGAGACCGACCTCCCCTCTACAGTGAGGGAACCAGTGTAGCCTCAACAGGTCTCATGAGAGGCCAGAACAATTTTCCATTTTTAGGGGAGGCGAATTACTGGCATATGGAAAAAATGTTTAAAAAATGTGGTCTTGCCCGGGCGTGGTGGCTTATGTCTATAATCCCAGCACTTTGGGAGGCTGAGGCAAGGGGATCACGAGGTCAGGAGTTCGAGACCAGCCTGGCCAATATGGTGAAACCCTGTCTTTACAAAAAATAGTCGGGTGTGATGGCATGCGCCTGTAGTCCCGGCTTCTCGGGAGGCTGAGACAGAAGAAACACTTGCACCCGAGAAGTGGAGGTTGCAGTGAGCCAAGAATGCAGCACTGCACTCCAGCCTGGGTGACAGAACGAGACTCCATCCCCTGGCCCCCACCCCCCAAAAAAACCCCAACAACAACAAAAAAACTGTGGTCTCAAAAATTATAGTGACTTTTATTTTGTAAAAAAATTCCTCCTTCCCTTCTTTCCATTTTTTTTTTTTTTGCAAAGAACAATGCAAATTGGGCAGCCTTGAAGGCAAAATAGGTGCAGAGAGACTCTACAGAAATGCCCTGCAGTGATTTTTCAATCTGCATACTTAACCAAGTAACAGTTTAAGACCAAGGACACATGCCAGAGTCAAAGCAACATCATGACTTATGTGTGACACAGTGGGTCTTACCCTGTGCAGTTCTGCTCCTGCCAGGGGATATTTGGCAAAGTCTGGGGACATCTTTGGTTGTTGACTGTCAAACCTAGGGGCGCCTGTGGGGGTGTGTTGTGTTACTGGCATCTAGCGGGTAGAGACCGGGGATGCCACTGAACATGTTACCCTGCAGAGGACAGTGTCCATCAGCACAGTCCATCACAGCTGATGCTGAAGATTTCCGGTGTGAAAAACTGACAGGCAAAAATTAAATCTGAGGCCCCTACGAATATTAACACTAGGGACAACTGGCTCTGTTTCCTGTACCCGGCCTCAGTCCCTGAAATATAACACCTCCTTCCAGTGGTGGTTCCCAAAAATCTTCTATGAGAAGACTCTCTGTACAAAGATGCCAGCTGTCAATTTTAACTGTTCTCACACAGCTAATAAAGACATACCCGAGACTGCGTAATAAATAAAGGAAAAGGGGTTTAATGAACTCAGAGTTCCACAGGGCTGGGAGGCCTCACAACCATGGCAGAAGGCAAAAGAGGAGCAAAGGCACATCTTACATGGTGGCAGGCAAGAGAGCTTGTGCCGGGGAACCCCTCTTCATAAAACCATCAGATCTCATGAGACTTCTTCACTATCATGAGAACAGCATAGGAAAAACCCATCCCCATGATTCAGTTACCTCCCACTGGGTCCCTCCCAGGACAATGTGGAGTTTACTGGAGCTACAATTCAAGATGAGATCTGGGTGGGGACACAGCCAAACCATATCAATGACTATGTAATTTTATTAATAGCAAATGAAACTTAGTTATCATTTAGAATACTGCTATAGAGTTTCTTTAGAAGTAAATTTGAGAACTGAACTGAGTAAAGGAAAAATAAGATAACAATCCAAGTGCCTTGCTTGAAGGAATGGCTACTCCATTCTCCATGATGTGATTATTTCATACTGCATGCCTGTATCAAAACATCTCATGTACCCCACATAAACACACACCTACTAATACACCCGTGAAAATTAAAATTTTAAAACCCCAATACAGGTGCTATTTGAATATGGCAAAATATCTCCCCTGAAAAAGTATTTCTGTGCTTGCCTTGTGTTTTTGTATAGATACTACTCACCCTGGCTATGTCATAGATTCAATTTGAGGCCGATGACATGAGGTCCACACAATTCTCCAAGATGGAAAAGAAAAGCATAGATCTACCATTTCCAAAATTTAATTTTTCCTTCTGAAGGGAACTGTGCTTGTAACAATATTCAGGGATTTCAGAACTACTGCATTAGGGAAGTGTTCTAAAGAGAGCAACTGATGTTGACTTTAGAGCAGCAGGCAGAGTTCTGGAAAACACTCTGAAAAAGTGCTCATGTGGGAAGAAGATTTCTCTGGATGCCTGATTTTATTGAAAAAGGCTATAAACTAGGGCTAGACAGCTTTTACACACACACATACACAGGTGCAACCTGAACTGAAATTAGCCCTCAATGAGAATATATATGGGGCCGGGGGGGGGCGGGGGTTGGAGTGTTGAATGGCAGAGTTTGAGGAGAAAAAAGCACATCAAATTGAGCTCCTGAAAGATGAGCCTAAATCTACAAAGGATAAGCCTTGGTGAATCACCACGGCCCAGGATCAAGATTAAGGATCCTTGCCCTGGAGTTGTTCTTGGATGATTTAAAAGAAATGCTACTCAAGAAAGTTGATCAAGGACATGGAGAGTCACAGATGCCTGGACTCGGGACCCCTGAATAAGACCCACAGCACTCAGGCAGGCAATTTATAACAACTGCAATTCTACAGATACAGTTCAATGATCAGAGTGTCTAGGTATGAAATTAGACAGCTGCACGTGAGACGACAACTCAAGTTGAAAAAAACTAATTAACACTCTGTGTAAGTCCAGAAAAAGTGCATTCTAACTAATCTTTTTGTCCCCAACTTTCATTTTAGATTCGTGGGGTCCATGTAAAGATTTGTTCCCTGGACAAAATGTGTGATGCTGAGTTTGGGATATGAATGATCCCATCACCTAGGTTCTGAGAATAATTTGTCAATAGATTTTTTTTTTTTTTTTCTAGATGGAGCCTTGATCTATAACTCAGGCTGGAGTGCAGTGGTGTGATCTCAGCTCACTGTAATGTCTGCCTCCCAGGTTCAAGCGATTCTCCTGCCTCAGCCTCTGGAGTAGCTGCGATTACAGGTACGAGTCACCATGCCCAGCTAATTTTTGTATTTTTAGGAGAGACAGGATTTCATCATGTTGGTCAGGCTGGTCTTGAACTCCTGACCTCATGATCCACCTGCCTCGGCCTCCCAAAGTGCTGAGATTACAGGCCTGGGCCACCAAGCCCAACCAATAGTTTTTCAGACCTTGCTCCCTCTCTCCCACCTGCCTCTAGTAGTCCTTAGTTTCTACTGCTGCCATCTTTGTGTCCATGAAGACCAATGTGGAGCTCCCTCTTAAGAGAACATGCAGTAATCCTGTTTTCTGTTTCTGTGTTAATTCGCTTATGATAATTGCCTCCAGGTCCATCCATGTTGCTGCAAAGGACACGATCTCATTCTTTCATGTCTGTGCGATATTCAGTAGTGTGTATGTACCACATTTGGATGCTGTGTATACACTATCCGAATGTATATGGATGGGCACCCAGGTTGACTCCATGCCTTTGCTATTGTGAATAATGCTGCGACAGACATGCGAATGCACGTGTCTTTATGGGATGTGTCTTTATGCATGTGTCTATTTCTTTAGGATATATACCCACTAATGTAACTGCTGTGTTGAATGGTAATTCTGTTTTCAGTTCTGAGAAATCACCAAACTGCTTTTCACAGTGATTGAATAACTCACATTCCCACCAGCAGTGTATATCCATTCTGTTTTCTCTGCAGCCTCACCAGCATCTGTTGTTTTTTGACTTTTTAATAACAGCCATTCTGACTGGTGTGAGATTGTGAGATAGTATCTCGCTGTGAGATAGTATCTTGCATTTCTCTAATGATTGGTGCTGTTGAATATTTCTTCATGTTTGTTGACCCGTCATTACAAGTTATTGTCATAAGACTCTTCTCCAGTTACAAGAGATTCAGGAGACTAGAATTCAATGGATATTAACACAGTGTCAAGAGACATTAAAACATAGGTTTTGAGGTGCTTCATTTTGAGTTCTTGCTTTTACTCCTTAGATCTTAGATGTTGGGCTCGAATTCAAAATGAGTTTGAAACCCAGTTCTGCTTCTCAGTCTAAGGCCTCAGACCCAGGCTCCCTGTTTGTGAAAAGAGATGACCCACAACTAGGTATTGTTCTAGGTACGACTTTAGGACATGCTGGGTGGTCATGTCTGCTACACATGGTTTATTGAGTCCCGTCTATAACCAATCCCCTGTCCTCTAGCTCAGGATATCAGGTCCCTGCAGGAGGCTAAGCTTGCGTGTGTGTACACGTGTGTTTAAGTGTGAGCAGAATCAACAGAATCAATAATGCAATGGCTGGTAGAGAGCTGAAGGGCTGAAGCCATCATCGCAGCTTAATGCCAGTTACTTCCCTTTCTGGTCCCACTGCCCTGACCTCTTCTACCTCTGTGGCTGCCCATCACTCTTCACCCATTGGAAATCCAATCCCTCCTCCTGAGAGCCCAGCTCTAGTTATCTCAGCTATTTCTGTGAATCCTCCCTCTGAACTCCAACTTTCCAGTCTGCCAGGTGGTCCGGAATGACCCTCGTGCCCCAGCATCCCAGGGGTATGATACCCTCCTGTCACTTACATTGGCTCACTACTGCATCCCTGGAGCAGGAGGGCGCTGGTGTAGTTTGAAAAGTTCCTGATCCTCTAATGCCACACTTCTCTTATTCACTTATCGTGTTCTAAAAATGCGTTGACTTCACTCTCTGAAATACTGGCTATCTGTGCACACTCTTCTATTAGGTGGAGATTATGAAGGCAAAGACAACATCTTATAAATCTCTGTCCACACAGCCTGGCCCTATGCATGCAAGGTATGTTTAATAGGTAATTGCTCATGGGCTGATTGATTAAAAAAGGCTCAGACTGACTCCCGTCACAGGTTCCTAAGAAGAAATATACCATGAAACTGAAGGCTACAGCTGGCTTCCTAATTAATAGTAGTCACTTGGCAGTTCTTAATTAAGAACTCTAAGACAAAGACCCACCTTTCCACCGTGCCAAACGGGTATCACCTTCATTAGTATTTCAGTGATGTAACCACAACTGCATTTTTATGCTCTTTTCTCTGCCCTGCCAGATGGGAACATTAGCGGCATAGTATTTATTAATAAACAAAGACAAGTGCAGAAGGTTGGGTCAATTCAGGCAGAATCCATCCCTTGTAGTCGTTTACTGCAAGCTTTACATAGAAGCTGAAGGAAGCCTTCTCTTGTCCTGCTCCTGAGAGGAAGTGATCCAGGCTGGACTTGGCAAGCAGCCTCGGTCTCCCAGGCACCGACTGTGAAGAGCTTCTGTCTCATGGGGTCTGGTGTGTCCTCACCAGGCATCTCCCCACCCACTCTCATGATACCCCGAGGCTCACCTACACCTGCCTCATGAAAACAGTGGGGTTCAGATGTTTTAAATGAGAAAAGACCTCAAAAGAACAATGTCACTATCCTTCTCAAGATGGTCACGCATCATTGAAAGCAGCAAAGCAGGGTTTCTGTGACAGCAGGGTCCCCTGTACATCCCCATCGTGAGTCCCACGACACTTCTCCCGCTCTGTTTATAAGCCTCAACCATGACTTGCTAAGGCTGCAGCCTTCTTCAAGGCCCTGAAATAGGCATCACTGAGTGACTTGCATCAATGTCCTGGTAAGTGTCCCCTGTCACTCTCAAAAATGTCCTGGCTGGCCAATAAATTATTTGCTCACCTTATCAGGCTATGAGAAAGAACGTGGAGGGAAATCACAAAGAGGTGGGCGGACGGCATCAGCAGCTTATATACACCCATCCTCTTGAGGGCCCATTCTGGTCTAAGGGGTAGAAGCAAGAGGTTGGGCTTTGAAGTCAAAATGAGCTTGAAATCCAGTTCTGCTTCTCAGAGGTTGGTTAACTTGGAAAAGGACTCAGACTCAGGCTTCCTATCTGTGACAAGGGATTGCCCGCAACTAACCACATGGCCAGGCTGTGAACATGCATCAAATGCAAAGCCCCAGGGCATGGTATTACAGAGGGCAAGTGATGGGACGGGTGCTCAGTGCATGCCAATCAATCCTTTTTTCTTTTAAGAGACGAGGTCCCTCTTGTCCCTTCTGTTGTCTAGGCTACAGTGTTCTGGTGTGATCAGGGCCCACTGCAGCCTCAACCTCCCAGGCAAAGCGATTCTCACACCTCAGCCTCCTGGTAGCTGGGACTATAGGTGTATGCCACCACATCCAGCTAATTTGCTATTTTACATTTACAAGGTCTCCCTTTGTTGTCCAGGCTGGTCTTGAACCCCTGGGTTCAAGTGATCCTCCCACCTAAGCCTCCTGAGGAGCTGGGGCCACAGGTACATGCCACCACACCTGGATAACTTGGTTTTTTTCAATGTTTTGTAGAGACAGAGTCTCCTTATATCACCCAGGCTGGTCTTGAACTCTGGGCTTCCCAGAGTGCTGGGATTATGGGCATGCGCCACTGTGCCTGATCAGTCATTTTCCTTTTAACAAGCACAACTTTTAAAAAAGAATCCAGTAAGCCTACTTGGGCTCTTCTGTGGCCTGTCTTGATGCTCTGGGGAGGATGGAACAGTGGGTTAAATGCAAAAATTCTGGGGTCGGACATCAGAGTCTGAATCCCAACCCTGTTACCTCCTAGCTCTGTGTCTCTGAGGAAACTACTGAAGCTTCATTGCCACATCTGAAAAGGAGGAATGAAAATCACAGTAGCCCCCTTGTCTCATGGGGTGGAACCTCTTCCTCGTAGACTTTTGGAAATCTATAGGGCAGTTCATGGTTGACCTCACAAGTGGGCGATTCCCCTGGTATTTATTGAATGACGGTTTGGATGCCAGCTGTCTTTCATTAGCAAGCCAGGTCGGAGTACTGGGAGTGGTCTCCCAGGATGCATGCCTTCTCAGTGTCCCAGTGGGGATTCGTGGAAGGGAACACTCTGTTTACAACTATTTGAGCCTAGAACCTGAATCTGTTTTATATGTGAATACAAAGCATTTTCTGCCCAATAACAATCAATACTGGATATTCCAGAAGTGCAATTCATGTGCAAGTCAAGGTGAGACTGAATTTGGGGTTTGGGGGCAGCTTTTCTGAGGAGTATTCACCAGTTTATAATATCACATGACTGACAGGAAGACCAGTTCTAGTGTGAGAAGCTAGAACATCACTTCTCTATCAGTCTGCAGTTACAGCTGTGAGATTTGCAGGATTTCTATGCACAGATGCAAATGTCTATTACCTCCCCGCAGTACAGCCAGAAACAGGAATTTAAATATCGAATGTATTCAATAGTTAATTCCATTACCTTTATTTCTCCATCATGTTATAATTGGGGAATTATAATGATTTTTAAAACAATTATGTGTAGAGCAGGTTACGTTAGCTACAAGATCTATTTCAGGATTTTAGTGGCATGACAAAAATGTCTGTAACAAAGGATCTGAGAGGTTGCAGAATCTTTCTCATAGGGTGAAGATTAAGAAATAACTGAATTATTAGTCGGGTGTGGTAGCTCACACCTGTAATCCCAGCACTTTGGGAGGCCAGGGCAGGTGGATCTCCTGAGGTCAAGAGTTCGAGACACTCCTGACCAACATGGTGACACCCTGTCTCTACTAAATACAAACAGTTACCCAGGCATGGTGGCATGGCAACTTGGGAGGCTAAGCAGGAAAATCGCTTAAACCCGGAAGGTGGAGGCTGCAGTGAGCCAAGACTGCGCCACTGCACTCCAGCCTGGGCAACAAAAGTGAAACGCTATCTTAAAAAAAAAAAAAAAGTAACTGAATTACGGCACTGACTGCAGAGTCCAGCACATAGAGAGAGAAGCAAGCGCCTAAGAAATGTCGGCTTTTCTGATGATCATTAATATTATCAGTTGCCACTCTTTCTGCCTCCTGTTGCTTGACTAACTGCTAGTAGAAAATAAAATTTACTTTCTGCTTCTCCAGTTCCTCCATCCAGAGGTGAGACCAGCGACGTTGAAGGGCACTCTTCCTTGAGTCGGAGGGAGACTAATAACGTATGGCAAACCGCCCAGAAGGGAGAGAGATTTTTCCAAATAGCTCTGACACTCACAGAAGGTACTTCATTAGTCTGTCTATTACCAACCACTTACGACACATATTTATTGACCACAATCTGCCAATTGATTAAACATCTCAATATATGAAGCTGACTTTTCATTAATTAGCAGTTTGGAGATCCTGATCCTAGAAGTTAGGGTGGAGAGTTTCAAACATTCTTGCAACACTTCCATTTGCTCTGACCTTCAGTAGCAATATCAACATGTTATAAAATCAAAGATTACCTCATCTTCCTCCATATCAGAGCATGTTATGCATACCACGTGCTCACACTTCTCAGCAGGTCTGATTTACCTTCTAATCAATTTAAGTTGTGTACATAATGCTTAATTTCTTTCAATATACACCTTAAAAATGTCGCTGACCACAATAATTAAACTTTCTGTGAGGTAAGTTTCAAGTTCATTTGTAATTAGAATAAACAACTGATTGCCAGATATTTTACATTTTAAACTCAGGCATTTGTTAATGCCCGCGGTATATTTTTTCTCCACAACAGATACAAGTAATTATTTTATATGACCCATAAGATTTTTCACTTGTAGTTGTTTTATAAGAAATGTGAACTTCCAAGGAAAACATACGGGACAAAGTGCCCCGAGGTTTAGACGAACATGAGAACCTTGAGAAGTTTGGTTTATAACTAAGTTTTTGCTTCTCTTTTTTAAATTGTTGAAGTAATTCTTACTTTTTATTCATTGAACTTGACTGTTTGGCCTTCTCCAAAGGCGGAAAAAATTCATCCTCAACCACACAAGCGGCAAGGTCCATGAAAAGAGATTTGTCACTTTTACAGCTTTGCTTCTGTTCGGGTCGTTCTCATCCTTCCTGACTGTCCTCCGTACCTTATCTAGTCCCCAAATGCTTCATTCTTGGCCACCGCACTGTCAACACTACTGCCAGGGAGTGACACCAGGCTGTGTTCCTTTGTCTTGCGGCTTGGGGTTTGCTTGGAAGCCTGTTACACCTGCAGAGCTCCCCACATCTCAGTGTGCATAGGAATCACCTGGGACCCTATGCACGGGCAGAATCTGATGCAGTGGGTCCGGGGTGGGGCCTGAGACTCTGCATTTCTGACAAGTTACCAGGTGATGTTGACGCTGCTGTTTGGGAGACGTGACGAGTGTCAGGTGTTTATGCTGTTCAACTGGCACCTACCCTCCTTAACCTTTTCAACAGGACTAAAATGCCAGTCTCTACTGGCGCCAGGAGGGGCTCTACAAAGGTACAGCTTTCTTCTCCCCAGAGCAGAACTAGGACGGGGAGGAGGCTCTGAGTCTCTTTCAACACAGAGGGCTTTCCTTTCTGGCTCAGGAGAGGAAGAATTGAGGTCACTGAATTACTGCATGGTAAGAATTAAAATTATCAAGGAAGAGCTAGATCAAACAAATAAAAATGAGATTCAATAAATATAATTCCCCTAAAGTTCCTTCCTTGGATGCAAGAAAAAGTATTTGGAAATTCAACCCTGAGTATAATTGGAGAAAAATTTCAGGGACTGTAAGAGAGTTTCTTATAACATCACTGCTCCCTCAAACGTACCTGTTCTGCTCTGGAACAATGGAATTTATATACCTGTCATTACCTCTGCAAAAATTTTCCCTGAAAAATGACTGCATTTAGAGTGGTTCATGTGTCTCTATTGGAAGTGGAGACTCACTGACCGGCTGCATGCACAGATGAAACTAAGGGGAAATTTCTGTGTCTGCCACCAGACAGTCTTTTTTTTGGGGGGGGGGGGGGGCGGGGGGTGAGTCTCACTCTGTTGCCAGGGTGGAGTGCAGTGGCGTGATCTCCACTCACTGCAACCTCTGACCTCCTGGTTCAAGCCATTCTTCTCCCTCAGCCTCCCAGGTAGCTGGGATTGCAGACATGCGCCACCACGCTCAGCTAATTTTTGTATTTTTAGTAGAGACGGGTTTTGCCATCTTGGCCACCTGACCTCGTGATCCAACCACCTCAGCCTCCCAAAGTGCTGCGATTACAGGCATGAGCCACGGCGCCCGGCCACCAGCCAGTCTTGTATGATGAATAACGATTGAGATTCAACACTAGAAAAAACTTATTTTTTATATTGTTACTTTATAACAGCCACCTCATTTAACAAGAAATTATAAATTAACTTTGAGAAAAAAATGTTTTTAAATCCCATGGAATCCCCAAAAAAGTATTTATGGGTGCTCTCTGTTTACTTTTTAAAATTTTTTAGTTTTTGTGAAGATGAAATCTCACCATGTTGATCAGACTGGTCTCAAACTCCTGGGCTCAAGTGATCCTCCTGCCTCGGCCTCTCAAAGTGCCAGGATTACAACAGGTCAAGCCACCTCACCTGACCTTTGTTTACTTATTCATTAAAGATTACTCTAGAATGCATGCCTGGAATATTGCCTGTAGCATATCATACATGTTGCTAAAAAGACACCCATTTCATAACTGCACGAAATCATTAGGATGTCTCCATCATGTTCTTTTCTCTGTGTTCTTTCTCCACCGATATTTTATCTCCTTCCTCCTCTTTTGACAAACTCACAATAGATTATCAGCCCTTCTAATGATCAAGGGTCTGTTAGCCTCTTTCTTATTTGTCTCAATGAGAGCTGATGACAGCAACGGTCTTGCGTCACACAGCTCCATGAAGTATCTGCCTGCCTTCATCTCTGTACCTCATTAATGGAGCTGTTGATGGGTAGGAGGGAAATAATGCTCAGAGCCAGCATTAGCACAGCTGACTCCCAGACTGTCTCTTTGTGAGCCTGGCAGCTTTGTTCACACCATGACCCCACGCTACAGGTGCATTTCATGATTCCTTCTGCAGTGGTCATGATCCATTTAATTGAAAATAATTCTTCCTGGGGGGTACTTGCTAGAAAGGCTTCACAAACCCAGGACACAGTATGAAGTCAAATTAGATAATCAAACTCAGATATTCTGAGAACACCTCCCAAATGTCATCTCCCATTTAATCAATGCCAGACTTTTTGCTTTGTGTGGAAATAGCCAAGCTCAATCCCCTCTCTGACAGAAAGTAACAACAAATTAGCCACTTCTCTAAACCTTCTCCCCACTAGCATGGGTTTGGGGAGCTCTCACTCAGGTCTCAGTTAACTCGGTCCAAGTTTCCTGGCTTCATCTGCATTGTTTTCAGCTTAAAAACATTTCTTTCTTATTTTATGGTTTTTCATTTTTCTCAAAAACAAACAACATCGACGCATTTGAGTTTCAGGGTCTCCAAGGTTCCAATCATAATTAGCTTCCAAGTGTCTGCTAGCAAACCACCTCTAATAATTAATTTGGCCATCACAGAGAAAACTGCCATGTTTCACAGGAGAGACGAGAAGCCACGCTCTTGCCTGAGAGCTGCAGTGTCATCACTGGTGGGGATGGTTCCGAGCCTGACTCCAGAGGGAAGAATTCAGGGCACTGAGATGATTTAAGCCACAAATAAGCCCAGGATGCACTGGGGCTGTGGCCTGTTAGCAAGGCAGGGACACAGCCACACCTCAGAGAGTGGGCTTGTTCGGCGGCGGCCATCATCGGGACCTTGGCCATGTGTTTCCAGGAGCTTCACCAGGAGAGGAAATGCATGACTTTCGCCGTGACAAAAAATCAAGATCACACAATGGGAGGGGGATCCCTGTACTGGGCCCTAAAACATCTTTAAACTCCAACAGGGCCACTTGACTTCAAAACAACTCCCTAAGTTTTACCAATTTCATTTTAAAAGTGAAAAGTATCACTCAATAATTATGCTTACAAGCCAGAAAAGAAAAAAAAAAAGGATATCAGAGTGACGATGACAGAGTGACGATGCATGGTGGGCCCAAGAGTCCTTCCTTGCCCGACTTCCCCGCCCCTAAGGAGTGCACGCTGCTTGTTCCCATTCTCACATCCTGCACCAGCCACAGATAAGGCCAGCACAGAGTGGGAACCCCAGAATGTTGATTTCATCCATTTTTGATCTTGGTCACAGAAATGGGGGAAAAGGGGACCCGAACTGACGTCTGTGGCAAATGTGATTGATTCTGGAAACGTCCAGAGGGCTGGAGTTCAGCAAATTAGCTGTGGTCTTGACTGACAAGCTCTTTGGTGTCCTCTCTCAGCATGGGCCCTGCCCCAGAAAGCAGGTATGGGAATGACCCACTGCCTGTGTCTGTCATCGAACCATCATACAGCAGCACTTGCATCGGTATTTTTATCTTCTAAAGACAATGGGAAAAAAATGACCTCACAGGTTTTTTTCAAAAAAGTTTCTGTCTTCCCTGGTACACAAATGAGATCAATCAAAGTAAACCTCTATTAAACAATAAACAATTGACCAGATTTAGAATTCTCCATAAACTACAGCAAACAATCAGTTCTCAAACGGGATGGATACACTATTGAAAAAAACAAGGCCTTTTACAACTCTTTGATCTGGTCTCCACGCAGTATTCTCCAGTTGGAGGCAAGAGATACCTCCTTGGCTTATTTGTAATAAGGTGAACATGTCTTAGAAACCCTGAGAGGCTTTTTAAAAATAAGCCCCTATTTATGATTCAAAGATATCCACCGCTCTGTAAGTTACGGTTGAAAGCTGGCAAACTGCTGTGCCCCTGCTTCCTATCCAACCACCATGCCCCACGACACCCAATTTTCCATGAATTCTTTCCACAGCAAACTGCTCAGTTCTACACAAACTCTTCTGTAAGAATCCTAAAGAAAAGCCAGGTGTGGTGGCTCATGCCTATAATCCCAGCACTTTGGGAGGCCGAGATGGGCAGACCCCTTGAGCTCAGGGGTTCGAGACCAACCTGAGCAACATGGTAAAATCCTGTCTCTACCAAGAATATGAAAAAACAAAGCTGGGTGTGGAGGTACACATCTGTACAGGTCCTAGCTTCTAGGGAGGCTGAGGTGGGAGGATCTCTTAAGCCTGGGAAGCAGAGATTGCAGTGAGCCAAGATCATGCCACTGCACTCCAGCCTGAGTGAGACCCCATCTCAAAAAACCCCTGAAGACAAATATAAATGCAGATGGTCCTACTGGTTGGTTATTTATAGTCTGTTTAGACTAGTTTCTCAGCCTTGGCACTGAGATGTTCTGGGTCAAATCATTCTTTGTTTTGAAAATGATTTGACCCTCAGAGAAGTCCTGTGTAGGGTCTTTAGCAGCACCCCCTGGCCATTACCTGCTGGATATCAATAGCACCCCAACATCAGCTGTGGGAACCAGTGTTTCCAGACAGCACCAAGGGTCCCCAGGGGGAGTGGGGGATGGTATAAAATTGCCCTGGCTGGGAATCATTGCTTTAGATTACAAATAAACGGATCTTTGGGTAGCTATGGAGAACATAATCCAAAGGAACGTGGAAAAAGAGTTGTCTCTATAGATCAAGCTAAAAATCAGCGCAGCTTAAGATACAATGGCCCCTGGGTAGGAAAAAAGTTATGCTGTGCCTCCAAGAAAGAAGAGAAATAAAATGCTTATTGTGCTCAACACCCATCCCCACCCAGGGAGAGAAACAAAACCATCCAGAGCTGCTACCCTGATGCTAGCTTTAGAGTCTTTCCTCTTATCACAGAAGAAAGGTTATTCAGCACTGGTGAGGCTGAGTCCTCAGAGAACGTTCTGAAATGCTTGAGTCCCATACGGTGAATATGTTGAGGTGGTGAGTCCCAGGTCACTGGGGGTATTTAAGCGGAGACCAGATGACAACCAGCTCAGGGAGGCCGTGAAAAGGACTCCACACAGGGCAGGAGTTTGGCCTAACTGACATCTACTGTCTTAACGCCATGATTCCATGGGCTTCTGTGAGCCTCTGAATGCTCACACTCCCAGAGTCCCTTCCAAGAAGGCTGTGACAAGCAGAGGGCATTCGTCCTGCCCTGAGTGGGTCAGGACCTCCCAACCCCAGGAGCCCGAGGAGTGACCAACACTGAGTGGACGTTGACCTCCACCACCAATCACCACCTGGTGTGGGGCTATCTCCAACTGCTTTTCCCCTCCCCATTCCTAATCCTCATTAGCCCGAAAGACAAATTACAGCAGTGCACAGTCTCACACTGATGCTCAATCTGTCTTTTCTAGCATCCTCTATTTATCAGACGGCTTCCACCAAGTGAACCATGACTCCTCAGTCTTTGCCCAAGTGCACCTTCACTAGGCAGGGCTCAAGTTTGAGAAACAGCTAGAAGATAACAGAGAAAGATCTGCAGCCACACGTAAGATACATTCACAGAGAAGAGCTAGCGCAGAGATGGCACTGGGGCTCTGGATCCTGTCTGGTGGGAGAAAACAGAAATGTCTTCTCTCCTGGCTAACAAAACACTTGCACGGCAGTACAGCAAAAGAAACAGAGGCAAATATTTTGTGACTGGCTTCAGAACAAGCCTGAACAATCTAAACAGTGGATGTGCATGCATTTTTTCCTCAAACCATCCAAATGCATTTCCTGGTATCTGCTGTAATTAAAACAGAATTGGAGCTATTCATACATATCTACATTTTTTTTTTTGAGATGGAGTTTTGCTCTTGTTTCCCAGGGTGGAGTTCAATAGTGCGATCTCAGCTCACTGCAACCTCCACCTCCTGGGTTCAAGCGATTCTCCTGCCTCAGCCTCCTGAGTAGCTGGGATTACAGGCGTGCACCACCACGCTCAGCTAATTTTGTATTTTTAGAGAGACAGGGCTTCTCCATGTTGCTCAGGCTAGTCCTGAACTCCCAACGTCAGGTGATCTACCCACCTCGGCCTCCCAAAGTGCTGGGATTACATATATGAGCCACCACGCCCGGCATATCTAACTTTTTACAAAAGAGTAGAGTCCTGTATCACCTTACAATGTTTTTTTTTTGAAAGCATATGTGATTTTCACAAAAAATATGTGCTTTGTAGGAGCCTCATCCTTTTGCCTCTGCATCTTATGTTCTAGATTTTTTTCTCACTACGTCTAGTACATCAAATGCTACTCAACTCCCATGGAATAAAAATGTACACAGAAGTGGCTTTCGGTCCATTACCATGTGGCAGAATTCTATCAAAAATCAAAGAATGTGGGGTCCAGAAGGGACCTTACAGGTCACGTATTTACCTCAGTTACCTATGGACATTGAGACCACGCATGTTCAGAGATGTTCCTAAGATTTAGCTTAGACTAAGTAGAAATGGTAGAAATGGACTTTCTATAGTGATAGAAATTCTATTTAAAATTCTAACATCTGCATTTCTATTTCTCATTTATTATAGCAAATTTTCTACCTTAACGGGTGAAACATTTGCAGAACAACCACTTCAGAAAAGTGTTTGGCATTTTCTTACCAAGTTAATATATACCTATTCTATGATCCAGCGATTTGGCTTCTGGGAAGAAAACGGACATCCATAAATGAATGTTGGCAGCAGCTGTATTCGTAACAGCCTCCAAATGGAAATAAGAGTCACACCCAATAATAGGCAAGTGACTACACAAATCATGGTGTATATATATACGTGTGTGTGTGCGTGTGTGTATGTGTGCGATGGATATTGGCCACTTTTGCCAACATCCAGGCCAAATTCTCCTGATGCAGCAATGAGAAGAGAACGTTCAATTTTCTTGAATTATCACCTCTTGAATTATCTTTCTACCTCTCTTCTTCGGTTCATTCTCTATCCCTCTGCTAGGCAACTATACTATTTCACATCCTTTTCTCTCTCTGCTCTTGTTGCCTGGGCTGCAGAGCAATGGTGCGATCTCGGCTCACTGCAACCTCTGCCTCCCGGGTTCAAGCGATTCTCCTGCCTCAGCCTCCCAAGTAGCTGGGACTACAGGCATGTGCCACCATGCTCGGCTAATTTTGTATTTTTAGTAGAGATGGGGTTTCCCTACTAAAACTCTATAATATGATAATATTTTCTCCTCCATCCTCCCTCTCAGCTGGCTGATAACCCTGCTTCCTATTTCACTGAGAAAACTGAAACACTCCAAAGAGAACTTCCATCTGGTCCCGACTCTAGCTTACCAGCCTACCATCCTGGTACTATACACTCTGCCTTTTCCCCTGTGACTGGGACTCTGGCCAAGACCAGCCCCTCCGCTGGCATTCAAGATCCCAGTCCCTTTTCCCTGCACAATGATACTGCCCCAGCAACTGGCCCTGTCTCCTACATCATTTTCCCCACTCTGCTAGCCACCCGCATTAACAAAAGATACACCGTGCTACTGCCTGTCTTAAAAACACCATTCCTTAAGCCAACGTCCTCTTCCAGCAATTGCAGTTTCTTTGCCTTCACTTGGAGTAAACGCTTCAAGGACTTACCCATGTTGTACCCACGGCGGCTAAACCTCTAGCCCCATTACGTTTCCAAAGCAGGCTCCTGACCTTGCTAACACCTCTGCATCCTCAACTCCGGAGGCAGCTTCTCCCTCTCATGTTACTCCAGTCACCAACAGTAGTGGGCAAAGAAAACAACCTTCACCTTCTGGAGATACTCAACTCCCTTGTTTCCGGGACACTGCGCCCACTTGGTTTTCTTGCTAACTAGCTGCTCCTTCTCATTGTCCTGTGCTAGTCTCTCCTGTTGCTGGTGCCTCCGGGATCGGCATGTGAAGTTCTCTTTTTATACTCACTCACTGAATGATCTCTTCCAGACTCATGACTATCAACCAACAACACGTCTCTCTCTCCAGCCAAGATATCCATCCTGCCTCCAGATGCCTGGAGCCACCTGCCTTCTGAGTATTTCCACCTAGATAGCTGGAGGCAGCTCACCTTTAACTATCCCCAAACTGCCCCCTCCTTCAAATCTGTTCCACTCTGAGTAGTGCCCCATCTTAGTAATGCCAACATCATTCTTCAAGTTGCTCAGCTACAATGTAAAGTCAGCCCTGACTCTTCTCTTTCTCTCTCATCCAATTCTTTGCCAAGCTCTGCCAGCCTCTCCCCCTTCGAATAAACACCTAGCACTGTACGACTTCTCATCTCACCTGTGGTTGCCAGTCTGGGCCAAGCCACCTTCAGCTCTTGCCTGGATGACTGCAACTGCCTCCTGTTTTCTCTGCTTCCCTTTTGACCTCTTTGTAGCAGTGATCCTTTTAAAAAGATTCCTCTGATCTTGTCATGCTTTTGCTTAAAACACACCAATGCTTTCTGGTCTCCTTGTGAAGAAAGGCGAGACTCCTTAAAATGGTGCAAGAGACCTCCTGTGTGATCTGTCCCCAGCTCTTCTGTGCGAGCCTGCTCCTCCCTGGGTGGGAGCACGTGCCAATCCCACTGTCTGAAACATTCTTTCTCTAAATTTCTGCACATCCTTCAGATCTCTCAGGTCTTCTTGGATCACTGCAAGTGTGCAGTCTCCTCCCCCGACATCTCCCACCTCTCACATTCTATTCACCCACCATCGGACACAATACACAGCCATCTGTTCACTCTCTTCCCCACTAGACTCCAAACTGCATGAGGACAGGGATTGTACATTTTATTCCCTTTTGTAAGAAACAGGCACTATAGGCCGGGTGCGGTGGCTCACGCCTGTAATCCCAGCACTTTGGGAGGCCAAGGCGGGTGGATCACAAGGTCGAGAGATCGAGACCATCCTGGTCAACATGGTGAAACCCCGTCTCTACTAAAAAAATACAAAAAATTAGCTGGGCATGGTGGCATGTGCTTGTAATCCCAACTACTCAGGAGGCTGAGGCAGGAGAATTGCCTGAACCCAGGAGGCAGAGGTTGTGGTAAGCCAAGATCGCGCCATTGCACTCCAGCCTGGGTAACAGCAAAACTCTGTCTCAAAAACAAAACAAAAAAAAGAAACAGGCAGTATAAGTATTGGATGAATAAATAAATGAATAATAAAAGGACTGCTATGCTTGTACTGAGTGGAACATGTTCATTTTTTTCCTGCAAACAAAGCATTACAACAAACTACATTTTTTTTCTTCTTTTTATGGGACAGAGTCTCACTCTTGTTGCCCAGGCTGGAGTGCAATGGTGTAATCTCAGCTCACTGCAACCTCTGCCTGCTGGATTCAAGTGATTCTCCTGTGTCAACCTCCTTTACAGGCATGAGCCACTGTGCCCAGTCTGACAAACTACATTATTAACAAAGTAGCCAGCTGAGGCCACTGCTTTAGAGCTCTATGTTCTCCAAGCCGCCATAAGCAGTTTCAATGGCACTAAATCAAACCATGAAGAAATTCAATCTTGCCTCTACATGAAATAAAAATAGAACCTTTATGTTATCCAAAGTTATTTGTTAACTCAGTAAACGTTCATGAATATGCCACTGTGAGTATAAACTAGAAAGACAGGAGGAATGTTGGAGCCTGAAGGGGTTTTACGCAGGACATGCCATCTACCAACCTGTGCATCGGCGAATTCGCAGTGAACCTCGCTCCCGCAGCCTGACTCCCTGTTTTGTTTTTTTGTTATGTTTTGTTTTGAGATAGAGTCTTGCTCTGTCGCCCAGGCTCCCAGACTGGAGTGCAGCGGTGCGATCTCGGCTCACTACAACCTCTGCCGCCTGGGTTCAAGCGATTCTCCTGCCTTAGCCTTCCGAGTAGCTAGGATTACAGGCGCCCTCCTCCACACCCGACTAATTGTTGTATTTTTAGTCAAGACAGCATTTCAGCATGTTGGCCAGGCTGGTCTTGAACTCCTGACCTTGTGATCTACCTGTCTCAGCCTCCCAAAGTGCTGGGATTATACGCATGAGCCACTGCGTCTGGCTGTTTGGTTCTCTAATACACCTTAAGACAATTCTGGAAAAGCAGAGTGTAGAAAACAGAGGGAACGCACAGATAGTGACAGGTCCCCATTCTAAGGAGAAGCCATTCTAGGCGTTATAGTAAGAGTATTTAGATGACTGCGTAAACATGACTAGTAAAGCCACTTAAAATGAGAACTCAGACCAAGTGTCAACTAATGGCAATTTTCTGCAATTAGGAATATGGATCCTCAAAAAAAGTGATTTCCTAGCAGAGAGGAGAGTTGGATAGGAAGAAAAAAGGAACACAAGTAACAGTATCCGGATCTCTGGACTCTCAACAATTAAAGGATAGGCACATCATTTCTTTCACACCGTTTCCAAAAATATCAAAGGAGGAAAAAGCCATCGCGTGTGGCATTTTTATGGTACTTTCTAGCTTGTAAATCCTCTGAACATACATTATCTTTTCTACCCTGATAAAATTTGTGTGGTAGTCAGAAGAGTGTAGCTCCGTACTTTTTCATATATTTTGACTTAGATTTATATATTTTATAGACAAAGAACTGGAAGTTAAGCTACTCTTCCAAAAAAGGGTTCCATGGTCAATTAAGTTTGGGAAATGCCGCAAGCTGGGTCGGCTCCCTGGACACTGAACGATGTACAATAGCGTATCAGAGAACAGTCTCACCAAGGTTTCCAGCTCACTGGAACATAACGCCTTTTTTTCATGTGTGTGTAGAACATTTTAACAACTTTGTATTTTATGCAGATTATCCCTGCCTAAGGATTCTCCAATATCACACATCGTGGCCTCAAAAGACTTTACAGAACTGAAAGCCCAGTGGGTTTCTGAGATAAAAAAAATCCTTCAAAAAATGACAAGTATAAACTAGCACACATCTGCTGTAAAGGAGTCAATCACCGACTGTTAGTTTCTTTGCTTCTGCACAAGGACAGGGGCCCTGAGGTGTCCTCACAGGGCGCTCTGGGAGAGGTTCCTTTTGGATGAGATGAGACTGTGTTCTCGGAGATGGTAATGGATGCCCAGGGGCTAGGATATACAGAGGCTTTGCAAACCCTAAGCTAAACCATGACACACATGCCATTAAAATACACACAACTCAATCCGGTCCCCAGAACAGCTTCTGACATGCGAGGAAGCCTAGAGGGAATGGGGGGTGCCCGGAGGAGGGCAGCGCTAGACGAGAAAATTCCACAATAGAGCATTAACTCAAACGCCTTATGGTTTTCACAACTTAAAGAATGGATGTAGACTTCAGAGGATAATTCATGCTTATTAAATATGTGTGAAATTACTGTGATTCATCTTCCTCCTGTGTTTTAAATGACTTTGTAAAACCCAGACTTGGCATCCACAGAAATAACATAATGCAGTATAAAATGATCTCATTATTATAAGTATCCTTTAATGCAAAACAATCTCGGACAGTTACTTGCTTGTGATCCTGAAGGACTTCTTTCCTATTGGCGAGTAGTAATGTATGGGGCAAATTATTTCTTGGATATCATGTAAATGGAACTTCTGAACTCATTACAGATAAATTATTAAGTTATAAAAGACCACTGCTAATAAAACTGAGGCTACAGTGAGAAGTGTGATTAAAATCGCACATGACTCTGACCTATTAAACAATAACGTATTAATCCATAAAACTGTAAACAGCTTATCCCGTTTCTATAATTAAAATATGCTTCGCTACTAATTGCCTTAGCAATCCTTAAATTTCCCTGAAACTTCAGATGGCAAAACAGCATCGCTTACTATTATATCTTCTAATACTGGTGAACTAAGAAAACCCTTGTAATAAAGAACTTTTTATCTCTGTTCTAAGGCAATCCTATTGATTAGCTTTAAATTTATAGCTGGCAAAATATTTTGGTAAAATTAATGTGGGGTTAAAGGTAGATAAAAATCTCTGCACAGAACGGGAAGGGAATAACAATGTTTCACATATTTCTGCCAACATATTAACTAATACAGCAAAAAGGATCCTTGATATGTCAGTTGTTGACTGATGAGAGCACAGAGCTGAGACTCAGGCATGAAATTTTATTGCCAAAGACATTTTCATCTGCAGCCAAATCACCAGGGAAACACTTTGTCAAACAACTTCATTCTGCATGGAGACTTTGTGACAATATTGGCATCCTAAGAATTTGTTCAGGTTTTTCTGATTGCATCTATCTGTCTGTGCCTGGAAATATTTACAACCACACCGCAATTCACGCGGACATTTGGTTTAGCACCTAGAAACAACCTAGCCAGCTCATGTTTTATCTCACCAGTGAGTTTCAAATAAATGCTCAGAAGCGGTATGCTTTTTAATATAAATGAGACAATATATTTCTGCAAGGTTTCATATCACACTTCCGTTTCGTATTAATGGGAACTGACCCAGCAGGGGGTGTCCACAAAGTTATGGGGCAAAGTTTACAAAGTTTCTACAGAAGGACCCAATCTTTCTGCCTGAGTTAAACCCAGAAAATCAGAAATATTGGAAACTTAGAACAATTAGAAATTTTAATAAAAACATTTAGAACTATTAAAAATTTTAAATTAGAAAAAATTCAAAAACTATATGGAAAGTTTCATGCTCATTCTTTAAATTACAAGCCAAAACAAAAATTTACCACTGCTTGTAATTAAAATGTTACTTTTAAGAGTAAAATGACAAGAAGACAGGAGAAGAGGGAGTGAAAAGGAGAAAGAAGGAAGGGGAGGGAGAGAAAGAGGATAAATGCCAGACTGCGATCATTTTGAACTGCATTTTAAATTTCAGATCCTGTATTTATTCTGCCTGTGGTGGGAGCATAACTCCCAAAACAACCCTTGACATTTCACACCTCCTCCTATCCAATCATCACTTAGGTGCTGCCAAACTCTCAACCCCATGCAACCTTGTTAACCTCTTCACCATCTGTCTGGTCTGAGTTACCACTGTCTCTCATCTGGCTCCTGAAATAGCCTAGCAACTGGTCTCTCCACTCCATTCTATACACAGAGTCTAAAGCAATCTTTTCAAAACGTCAATCTGATCACACTGCTGCCCTTTCACATTTGCTACTAGAGGATAAAAAACCTGAACATGGACTACCCGGCCTGGAATAAGGAAGCCCCTGCTTGCATTCCGGCCTTCCCTGGGGCCACTGGTGACTACTCCAAGCATAGTCAAGCGGAGTAGATAGAGGCCTTGCCCTTCGCTGCCACAGGGCCTTCATATGTGTGCTTTTCTCCACTGGGAATGCCTTCCAGCCTCACACCTCAATGGTACCCGCCTTCTTCTCATTCCTTCATCTGCTTAGCTCCTGCCACCTTTCAGGGGTTCAGTTGGCTGCTGAGTCCCCTGTTAGAAGCTCTCATGGAACAGCCTAACTCACCATGCTTTGAGCTTACATCTATTTGTGAAGCTTCTTGATGAAGGTATGTCTTTCCTACCAGACTGTACAGTGACATACACACAGAACACACCTGCCCTCAGGCACTGCTGAGTCCCTTAGCCGAGGGCCTGTCATAAACATGAAACAGGTTCTCAGGCAGTGCTGCTGACGCAAAGAATGGAGCTGAACAATGGGTCCTCCCACAGCGTTAATTTTAGGCAAGAAAGCTTGTAGTATCGTTCCCACCAAGGCCACCATTAAAGTCGGGCTCTGCATCAGGAAAAATAGCTGATGCCTGCTGGGCTTAATACTTAGGTTATGGGTTAACAGGTGCAGCAAACCACCATGGCACACATTAACCTGTGTAACAAACCTGCACAAGTTTACCTATGTAACTACCCTGCATGTCCTGCCCACGTACCCAGGAACTGAAAAGAAACACTCAGGCTCTAGGATCGCAAATGGAAATCTCCTGATAACACTACCTTTCAGCAGCTAATTGGTTATGTTATCAGGTTGTTTGTTTCCTCAAAGCAGATTGAAGAATTTAAAAAGGTTCACCCTGTCCAGCATGGTGAAACCCCACCTCTACTGAAAGTATTATCAGTGATCACTGGGCGTGATCTATGATCATTGTTCATAGATCACTGATTGGAGCCACCAACCAGACTGGCTGGGCGTGGTGGCTCACACCTGTAATCCCAGCACTTTGGGAGGCTGCGGTGGGCTGATCACCTGAGGTCACCAGTTCAAGACCAGCCCAGCCAACATGGTGAAACCCTGTCTCTACTCAAAATTCAAAAAAGTTAGCTGGGTATAGTGGTGGCCCCTGTAATCCCAGCTACTCGGGAAGCTGAGGCACAAGAATCACTGGAACGCGGGAGGTGGAGGTTGCAGTGAGCCAAGAAGCTGTCACTGCACTTCAGCCTGGGTGACAGAGTCAGACTCTGTCTCAAACAAATATATATATATATATATATATATATATATATATGTATTTGAATGATTAACTGGGCATGGTGGTAGGTGACTGTAGTCCCAGCTATTCGGGAGGCCGAGGCTGGAGACTTGCTTGAACCCAGAGGCAGAGGTCCACACCACTACACTCCAGCCTGGGCAACAGAGCAAGACTTTATCTCAAAAAACAAAACAAAACAAAAATTTTAAATGGTTATTCGCACACTCACACTCACACCTGTATATGGAACTGACTGTTGTGAGTACATCTTTATTACAACAAGCACACAGCCAGGGCTTGGGTGGGCCCATGAATGAACCTGGCTCTCTGAAACACTTGGGCCAGATTTCCATCGCCAACACCAGTCCCTGCCTTACCAGAATGTGACTTGGAGCCTGAAAGCCTGGATCATTTTGAAGTTCAGCTATAGCTGCCCAGGGATATCCATTCTGGGTTTTCACATCCAGGAGCAGCCATGCCCACTTTCACAGGAGACTGACTTCCCATCCAGGCAGCAGAGCAGAAGGCATGGGCTGCGATGTGGAGTCTCACTCTGAGCAGGGTAAGGTATCAGAAACCTGACCCAAGTGGCAGAGTGGGCAGCAGGCCCAGGACCCTCTGACAAGCTGGCTTCTCAAAGCGTGAAAAGTGTCGCACAGGATTCCTTGTACCTCTGAGAACCTAAGACTTGGCTAACTTTTGTAAACCTGGCATTATAGGTTTATAAAAACATCCTGTTGCTCTTGATTTTTCTGGGATACAGAAACAGAGATGAAACTGATAACAGGCCGGCAGTCTGATTTCAGTCTAATTTTGATTTTCTCTGTCACCTGATGCACCACCTGATGACAGAGAAGAATACTGACATCCACTTCTCTTTAATAACGTCACTAAAAATCAGTGAGATGAGCTAAGGCAGGCAGGTAGGGAGGAGGAAAAGAGGCAACGGACATGGTAATAAATGTCTGGAAAACCAAACTGGATAATCCAAAGTTGTCGAAAAATAACATGCTGCTCTGTGGAGACCGGCAGAGGGCACCTTGCAGGCAGAAACTGCACCAATGCCAGCTTCTCACCTTGGACTCTGGTTAGCAATAGGAATCTATTACTGGCGAGAGATTTTTGAGTCTCTAACCTTTCTTATCAGTGATTGTTCACAGATTGTCAGCTGCATGCTGGGGAAAGAGCCATTTTCTTTTGTTTTAAGTTTTTTGGCCATTAATGATATCAAGAATGGTATGTTTTCATATGGTAGGTAAACAAAGGAATATCATTCTTGGTGCTACGTAAAATTAGAGCATTATTCTTCAAATTCAATTTGTAACCTTCTCTTCTAGTCATACAGATAAACATTCGCTAAATGGACCCTGAAATAATAAGACATTATGTAAAAGCACTAATCCTATTTCCAAAAGACTAACCACATCAAACGAAATCCTTGTAAATTCCCTATTTTGAATGTATACATACTTCTTTGCCAGTTTTAATATTTCTGTTATGCATTCCTTTACTTTCTAAAAGCCAGGTTTATTGAGATATAATTATTACAGTAAAATTTCATGCTTATTCTTTAACGAGCCAAAACAAAAATGCACCAATGCTTACAACTAAAATGTTAATTTTAAGAGGTGAAACAGTAACAAGTTCTTTTTGATAAGTGCAAGTGTTTATTGCTTTATTTAGGAGACAACAAAAAATAATCAATATTTTCATAATGAAGGGACTTCTAAAATGGCATGGCTATGCAGAGATATCACCGTGAAGGATAGTTATGACTCTGCACAGAACCAGTGTATTTAAGAATCATAATACAGTCTAAGAACTCACTAATGCCCAGCTATGGGGGTCATACAGATTTGTCTGGACAACTTCCAACATGTAAATGACAATTTATAGAAAAGTAAGGCAAAGGTGATCTGTTACTGACACACGAAATACCATCACTGCCTCAAAAATGATAGCTACCCTCTGCTTCCATGGATTCCTAGTGGATTACTTTGAAGATGTAAAAGTTATTTTCAGTATATAAATAATGCTCACACATTAAAAAATCAGCTAGATTATTAGCTTAGTACTTTGTGGGCAGAAGCTTCATTTATGATAATGAATGCATGACTTAAAATATATAAATTATATATTACATACAAAATTAGGTTAGGAAAAAGTATATGTGGAACTCTTGTTGCCTTACTCATCCTCCTTCCAAGAATTAAAATGACAAACACCTTCTATTTCCTATTCTCTCTCAAGTAACATAAAGTGATCAATAAGCAAAACAGCCTATAGCATTATGTATCCGGGCGCCGCCTTTATTAACGATGTGACCTTGGGAAAGTTAGCTAACGTTTCTGTGCCTCAGTTTCCAAA